GTATAGGTCTTAATGCAAAATATTAAAAAAAAAAATACAAATACCTTAAAACACTAAATAAAAAATAAATTCGTTTGAACCGTGCACTGGAAAAGACGCGCAAACATTTCCATGCATYTTAATTCTTTTCTTAATCCTCAACTTATTTTTGTCACTAATAAAAATATGATTTGCTTTATTTAATGTTACGGCTTGTTTACATTAGATGAAAATTCCGTTACTTCTGCAAGGCATTCTAGTTTTGGATAAGTATTGTTGTTATTATTGGGGCGTGTCTTGTACTATGAATAAATTTCTGATTTTTCTCGCCTGCAGCTGTCGTGTTATWCAATTAAATTGCATTTTTCCTATAGCTTGTAGCAAACATTAGTGCAACTTTACAATCGAGTACGTGACACAGCGATTTCGTGCTTTGATTTTATAAATCGAAGGTTAGCGGCGGCACTTTAAAATGCAATTGCAAACGGTTGGCTGTTTAGCCTTCGGCAACACTGCTAGCGCATAAGCTGGAGGGAGTTAGTGCAAGAGCACGTATCGGTATATTGAAAAAGCAATTTTCTCTAAAGTGTTATGAGTCGCAAGGCTTTACAATTTWTAAAATAAAATATGTTACATATACGCTGCTAACATAATTGGAAAAATTAAGCTGATAAATTGGTTATGCTCGATTCTGATTATACAGGATTATATTATTATAGATAGGAATCAAAATTTCAGATATAAGGATGTCTAGATTTCAACTAGCAGAATGATATTTAGATTGATGTTGCAGAACATTGTATATTAAATAAAAAACTGAACTTAGCATGAAGTATTCAAACTCAGCATCACGTAATAATGTTACCTAAAATGGCCTTAAATAACATTTTTTAGGTCATATACATAACTTAACATAACATAACATAATTTCACATGGCACAATATATTATAACTTACATTTCAAATAGAGGCATAACATAACTTAACTGAACATAACATAACCTTACATAGCATAACATAACTTATATTTAAAAAAGTTGAAATATAATTAGAGTGGTATACTAGAACATAGCATAAATCAGCAAAAACTAAACATAACATGCGGAAACCTAGCTTAACATAGCATAATGTAACATTACATAACACAACATAGCATCAAGTTGCTTTTAGCGGCATATACATTCAAAACATAAATAACATAACATAACATAATAATACTTAACGTAACTTAACTATACTTAACATARCATAATAGCAAACATAAATATAGCAAAATTCTGAATAGAAATTAATAAAACTGAATTTCTGTTTATTATCAAAAACCTGACTTAACATAATTACATAACATAGCATAGCAGAAACTAGGACGACTTAATATAACTTAAGATCCCATAACAGAACATACCATAGCATAACATAAGGCAACATAACATAACGAAACATAACAYAGCATTGCATAGCATAATAAAATATAGCAATATGCTGAATAAGAATTATATTATTGAATCTGTGTTTATAAGTTCTAATAGGATCGAAACCTTCGGCTGTAGGGTATTTGAAGTTTCCGTTTTACGAATTTGAGTTAATTTTTTTTGAATATTTTTAACATATTTCATAAAAGTGTAGTTGTCGAAAAACACGAAATTTAGACTCCAAATAAATGGCTCAGTTAATACGCCCGCAGGATGGTGCAGACAGATTGAGAAGACTGCAGCAAATGTCTAGAGCAGGACGCAAGGTAAACAAAGAAGCATCTCATGTGCACTTGTCTTGCATTGGCAAGACTACGTTGTAACCATCTGGGGTCCGCACGGTATGATGCACCGGAGGACGTATTGGTAGTGAGGCCAGAGTCTGTCAAAATTATCGTCAAATTCAGGCATTACAAAAGTTGACTACTACTCAACTGAACTTCATCTGCTATAGTAAAGGACCGAAACTGGTCTATGCATATATGCTTWTTGACCTACCAGGTTAACCTAACCCAATATTCTAAATAATAATAAACTCTTTCTCGCTTCTTCATAACTCATTACTTTCCATCAATAACTTAACTCGCTCGCTAATCAAATATATAATTTATTATTTCCGCACAATGGCCACTAATGTAACTAACTATCACACTAAACAATTACTTAGAAGAATCTTTTTCAATGTTGAAACCGCTTTAGCGCTGTCACCATATCCGCCATTACCGCTTTGAAACATAAAAAATATTTGGCGCAGTGCCAAATTACAGCCATTAGCGGTCCACGTATACTCAGCGCCATTACCTTAACTGTCGTAAAACTCTAACTTAATTTCCGCCACAGCAATGGCAACGAAAAATGCGCGCAAACACGCGCTCTTCATATGTAACACCTCAATGAGTTTAAKGGCTAAATGGCGCTTTTGGCGAAATTATGGCCTCATATAACGACGCCGCGGTGCTCAACGCTGTTAAAGGTAAGACAATGTTGCCACGGCGCGCTAACAGCACAAACACAAACAGTATTCTATGTGTAGGTGCTATAAATGTTGAAAGTATTTCCTTTACGCTTAACGAGGTAATCTCAACCTCATATTATTTCTGCCTAAGTGAATGCGCTCATATTTTGCGATCGCGTGCATGCGGCGAATGAGTTTGTCTTGAGCGTGGTAAGAAACCGATAACAAAAACGAAAGGAAAACAATGAAGATAGACAAAAGAAAACCGAAAGTRTTGAGAAAGAGAAGACCCATTTTCCGCCTTCATCGAGTTGGTTTTAGACGCATTAATATTACATGTTTGAGTTGCTTTCGAAAATTCAACCTGCCAATCAACAAATATACCTGCTTATAGGTATGTAAGCAAGTTAAACAGATATTTTCTGTAAAACCCATTTAGGCTACGCACAGGAAATGAGATTGGCTTAAATATTTGCTAACCCTAACCGAATGCTACCACCCCTCACAGCAGTCCAACCAAAAGCATTTAGTCGTACTCACCGCATTTCGAAATCACGCAACTCCTCGAATGTCAACGTATTCGTCACATCCAACAATTGTCGCATATTTTCATCGCGTTTCTGTTGTTGCTGCTGCGTGGCAGTCGTGTGCTGATGATGTGCGGCCGGATGATGTGGTGGATGTTGCAACTGTTGTGAGTTGCGTTTGCGTGCGTGCGCCGCTGTGCCGGCTGCCATTGCACCAGTTGCCGTTAATGTCTCTTTACCCTGTTCGACGCTGATGAAATCACCTTCGTTCTTGATAAGCAACGTTTCCACGGTGCTGTCTAAGCTCAAGGACGGCTGTTATGACAACGATGGCGCAGCAGCGTAGTGTTTCAAGCAGCAACAGTTAATTCCCCGAAGTTCACGAAACCACAGCAAATATGAGTAGCAGCCGCATGTCGAGTTGTGAATGCGTGTCATGAAAAGAGAGAAAGTGAAAAAGGTGAAAAATGTTAGAAAACCTGCTGAATGATAACACAGTTGTGGTTGAACTTTGAATAAATTATGTGGTTGTGGAGAAACATATGTTTTGTATGTAAATATGTATGTATGAAAATTAGTTTTGTATTGCTTGTTTAAGCTTTCACTCTCAGATGTAACTAATATATAACCATTTTATAATGAAAACTCAAATTTTGCTTCAATTTGTGTGGTTTCTATTACATCATTTTTCCTTCACCAGTAAACTTATGAAAAATGATTTTACGTTATTTTGCATTGTAAGCTACGATATGCTTAAGGTAAGACTTTGGATTTTCTTTTTACATTTAAATGTTGCCATTATCTAGCGTAGCCTTACAGTTATTGTTTTCACATGTAACAGTGCAGAAGACTAAGAAGCTTTTAGCACGCAGATATGGTTTTCTTTTGCACTTTCTTTGCGGATTAAGCAATAAAAATATTCTCACTTTGTTGAGTATATTTAGTGACATAAAAGTACAGGGTGACAAAAATTCGTTGTACGGATACTTGTAAAATTTATAGAAATAAATTTCTTAAGTGTAAAACTGGCCAAGCTAAACATTTGTTTTAGCCTTAACTTAAACACTAAATATGCATGCATACATACATACTTTTCTAAGACTAAGTATATGCATAACTTTGCATAAGCGCTTGGAATTGAGTTTGAGTAGATCCTTAAGGTTTGATTTGATCTCACCTTAAATTTTTTACACGTTTTTATAAATTCAAAGAGATAAGAAACAAAAAAAAACATTAAAACATTTACTTCGGCTGCACCGAAGCTAATATACCCTTCACAGGTCCATTTCTTTTAGTAACTACTTGTTGAGTGTGTATGGAAATTACATGCTATAGTAAGCCGATCTGAACAATTTCTTCGTATATTATGACTTGTAGGATTTTTGGAATTTCAGCGCATGTTCGAGCTTTAAATCAGTCCATTAAGGTTTTTTTCTTTAAATTTTTGGTTGTTGTTTTTCTTTTTTGGGTTTATAGTTTAACTTTGTGTTTAAGTTTGAGTAAAAGTTTATGGTACATTTCGGTTTGAGTATGTATTGAGCTATGATTTTGATTTGAGTTTTAGATAAAATACTAATTAACATTTAAAACRTATTAAAAATTAATTATATCTCATTTGAAATGATGTTAAATTTATTTAAAATGAGTTATGACTGAGTTATACATCAAATACATATATATTAATTTAATTTCATTTTAACTCACATTCGCATAAGAAAAGTAATTTTTCAAGTAATTACCACAACTCCATGAAGAACACTTTTYAGACAAGAAATATACACACATACAGTATGTTTAAAAGTGGATATATAAAATGTTTACACAACATACAAATACATAAATCAACATTTTCATATATACATATTACAAACGCATAAGCAGTGCGAAAGTACACAATCGCATTAAAGTATTACACAGTATTACATAACCGGCGGTACAAGCTTTGGATAAAATTGATGTATTCTTGAAAYTGAGCGGTAAACAGAAATTCAAATACAGCATACTTGTGTACTGTACAATTTACCACACTAGTAGGTAAAGTAGGCGGCAAGCAATATAAAAAGATTTGAAGTAATATAATAAATAAAAAAAAGAAAAGAAAATTCAAATAAAAATGTACAGAAAAAATTATACTTGAAAAGAGTGTGCTACTCTTTTATAATTTAATATGAAAATATAAAAAAAAAAATTAAAATAAAAAAAATAAATAAAAGAAAGAAAATTCAAGTAAAATTGAAAATTTATTAAAAATTTTACTTTGAACAGAGTTTGGTATAGAAAATTTCCAAGAAAAAAAATATACAAAAAKATCTCAACGATAACTYTTACATGTTAAAATAAGGCGCTTTGAAAAATAAATGCGGTGAATAAAGGAAAAATATATTTTAAAATTGCCGTTAAAATGACATTTTTTGAAGTAAATTTTAGTAATTTTAAAATTATAAATATAAATAAGCAATACCACTAACCACTTAAAAAAGTTACTCATACGACATGGGTGACTACTTTTAATTAAACAAAAAATATTTTCTTTTTATTTTGTTAAATTTTAAAGCAAGCGTTTTTATTTTACCTACTATAATATAAACAGTTTTAGAATCAGTACTCATCACATTTTATTATAAGTTGGGTGAGGTTATTATAAAAATTCCGTTCAAAAGTTGCACATACGCCAAGTGGTACAATCTATTGAATGTTTTTATAATGCAATGAGCACGACATTTTAAATTTGCAACGAAGTTTGTGATATCAAGAAAGAAACCTCAGAGATCCTCTAATATATATATATATATATATATACGAGTCATATTATATTTAGCGTGAAGAGCTGAGTCCACTTAACCGTGTCTATTTGTCTACCTGAAGATACACAAACTGGCCCCACAGTTTTTGAGATATCGAACTGAAAATTTGCAGACGTTCTTTTCTCCCCAAGTACCTACGCATTTGTCAGAACCACCAATGTCACACCAKTAGAGCATATAGCTGCCATACAAACTATACGATGAGAACAAAGTTCTTGCATGGATAACTTTTTTATTTGAAAATCACTATCTCTAAAGTATTATAGTGTCGATGTAGCTGAAGTTAGCGTTTTTTTTGTTCAATATATGCTTACATCAGATACTATAAGTATTATTAGCAAAAATRCAAAAAAATATTCATGAAGTTTGAAAATATATCCAAAAAAAAAAAAACTTTCAAATATCGCTTTAAAGGTTGTTCATACGCCACGTAGTACAACCAATAAAGTTATAGTGAAAGCAACTTTTTATCGTCCATTACTGTACTTTTCAATACAATTTTAAAGCAGAACTAATTAAAAGTTTGCAAAAAACGTATTTTAAYAAATTTTATAATTATAAATAATTTCAAATTTCACTTTAATCAAATTGCTAGCAAGCTTAACTAGCTAATAAAATATTGTCAGCACCCATTACGCTCGCTTTAAAGCAGTAATTATGCGCACATTACAAGCTGTCTGCACTGCAGAAACCTTGCCCCAGTTCTACTCATTTTTAATAGCGCATTTTTTCTGCCTGTGCACTTTCACACCTCAATGACGATAACAAAACGCTGTCAGCGCGGCCGCTTGTCAACATCAATATCGGTTTTCATTATTGTTTTTGTGCATGCATGCCGCTAATGTAACCATTTTTTCACTGACTTCATTTCATTAAAACCCATTTCAAGTAAGAAAATTTACGCGCTTTGCTTYTCGCGACCGTCGCCTGTTTCGCGTGCCACTCAAAGATGGTGCACGGAGGTCGGCCGACGGCCCATTGCATGCCACATCGCACGCGTACGGTGTGTGTGTTTGTGTGCAAAGCTTGTCACAAATGCAAACCAGCTTATCGCTGAGCTTGCAAAACTCCCCATAGTGTGGCAGCAGGCAAGACAACAACAATGTATAGTTCATTTCACCTTCGATAAGCATCTGCTGCTGCCGCAAAAGCAGCAGTGAGCCAGGCGTGCAACAGCGAYCGGTTAGTCAACCGCATTGTTGTTGCTTTTGTAGCTACTTTCAGCGATTTCCTGTCGACGGGCGAGCTTGCCACTTGCCACTGCWAGTTGTCTGCCGGCAGTGACTTGCAACTCCCTGATGCAGGTGAGTAGTTTGCGTTGCTCTGCAATTTTTCGAGCTGACGCTGCCCACCCTCMTCCCCTTTATCTTCCTCACTGCCTGTCAGCATTATGTCTGCTGCAAGCATAAAGATACCACTCGCAATACGCCAGCAAAGTAATAATTCTTTGGCTTCGTCGTTGTTACCTCACCTATGCGGAATCACACACATACACACACAGAGATATATATTGACCCTCATATGTGTGGTTACATCAGTTTGCGTTTACGTATGTGTAAGTGTCGTTTAACCTTCACGGCTCGTTGCACTTTTATTATTGCAACATGTGCATGCACATATGTTGGCAACAACAGCAACACTAACAATAGCAACAGCTAGCTATCAATCTACTTAAACCCACAAAGGCAGCTCATTCGGGGTTCGCTGAATGYTCATTGCGCTTTCTGTTAGCGCCGCTGCCGTGCGCGTGGCATATCACTTGTCGTTCGGGGCGTATCGGGTGGCGTGGTGCTGCTGCGCGTATTAAGAACCAATTTTAAATCGATTTATGTCGATAAACTGTAACCCAGTGTGAGTTAAGCTGCCAGCGTAAGTAAGCAACTTGCTCCGAAAGAAGATAAGCTTTGTGCACTGAGCCACTTGGGTTGCATGTGCTGTGATTTATTTGAATATTTTTATCTTTTATTAAGTTGGCAACTACTCTACCCAACAAGTTCGCCTTTTGTGGCACTATAATGAGCTTTATTCAATAAAATTTACGGTATTAAAGTTTTCGCGATTTTTATTCTTATTTACAGAGYGGATGGTGTTGCTTAAGAAGAATTGGGCTGAGTGCAGGTGGTTCGTGATGCAATTTCCGTGGCGTGGCTTCTTAAAGCAATGTCGGATTATTGGCAGGATATAAGAATTTTTATTATATTTTGCAACATTTTAATTCAATACATATCACATACGTACATATATGTATATCATATTTTATTAAAATGTAAGTAATGGTATGGGAAATAATTTCGGAATTTTTTTAAAATTGTTAAAGGGTTGCCAAACTTTTTTAATTAAAAATTTCTAATAATATAAAATAAGTTATATGTGTTGTTCATAGAGGTAATTATAACAGACTTAGTATTACCAAAATTAAATTTAGCAGAGTTGCCACTTGATTTATTTAATTTTTTTTAATAAGTAAACTTTTGCACCGTTGAATATGTAGTAGATGAAAAGTTTTAGTCA